CGCTTTGAAAATCGGAACTACATTTGCCACCTTTAGCTCGAGAGGAACTGTACCAGAGGACATGCTTAAATTGCAAATATGAGCGATTGGTTCAGCTATGGCAAATTTGGTATTTTTCAGAATATTGTTGCTAAGGAAGTCGTGACCCAAGGCGTTACTGGATTTAAGGGAGCTAATTAACTTGACTATTTCTATACTATCTGTTGGACTAAGAAAGAGAGAAGAGCATGGTGTCATTGAACTTTGAGAATTAAATTTATCTGCTAGCGCTGCTTCTGTTTGGTTAGATTCCTTTAACATAGCATTAGCAAGTTTTTCACCTACAGAACTAAAGTAGTCATTTACTGCATTTAAAGATTCCTTAGGATGTGATTTTACTTTTAATAGTTCCTCGTTAGAGGTTTTAGAACAATTAATATTGCATATTTTTTTGACGGTTGTCCAAGTTTTTTTAATATCATTTTTGTTTTCAACTAAAGTCCTCTTTTCGTATTCATTTTTTACTTTTTGCAATATATTTCCACAGTAATTCCTATACAGTTTATATTCCTTAGTAACATTGGTATCATGAGGAAACTTTTTGGCTTTAGCATGAAGAGCATCACGACGTCTTATACACTTCAGTAATCCAGGTGTTATCCATTTTTTGCAAATAACATCCCGACTACGTGTCTTACGCTCAGTTTTGTGTTTATTGATAGCAGTGTTAAAAACTTGTAGGAAATAATTTATTGCTTCTTTTGTTTCATTAATCTGATATAGTTGAGTCCAGTCAATTTGTTTTAAGGTCTTATCGAGTGCATCATAATCGATCTTTGTGCATTTAGCGTTTAAGTTTTCTTTTTGTATATGTGTTCCTAGGCTACATAGCACTGAGCTATGGTCAGTTATATCCGAGTGACATACAACTGTAGTAGAGGAGAGAGATGATTTTATCATGCAATGATCAAGATTATTTGGTCCTCTCGTTGGAAGATTATGACTAGGTATATATCCGTAATGTGCTAAGATGCTCAAATATTCATCTGTAGCGTCATCCGATGTATCTTTATTAATATTAATGTTAATGTCACCCAGAAGTATCGAGTGAGGCTTAGTGAAGGAAGATAGGACAGATTCAAGTGACCCCAAAAAATTACCTATATTTGAAAATGAAGGGGGGCGATAGATTGCTATTACAGAAAATGTCTGCTCTATTTGTATTACCAGACAATTGGCCTCTCGAAACTCTGGTTCCACTATACAGATATTTAGATTTAGCCGTGAATAGATTACTATTCCATCATTTTGATTTAAATATGACTTTGAGTGGTAGCATTTGTAGCCATTTAAAGGTATTTCATTCGAAGATTCATTAATCCAGCATTCAGTAAGTACGATAATGTCTGGGTTAAATTGTAGGCGATTCAAGAACAACACTAGGCTGTCAAAGTTTTTATTTATGCTACGTATATTTTGTGTTAGTATTGTAAGTTTGTTTTTATTTGTTCCCAATAAATGCAATTTGCATAGTTCGGGATCATAAAGCTCAACACTAGTCGATAGGCTAGTCTTGTCAATATCGTTTATTACATTTAATCTACTATTCATTTTGTTTGGTAGTGATATGCAAGTACTTTTCCCGGAAACAAAAGTTGCGCAAACAAAACAAAAATAACAGCATTAAACATTTGGTGAGAGTGTATTATTTTTGTATAAAGATAAATATTTTGATAGTACGTTAGTTTTGAAATTATGATTAAATACGCTGTGGAACGAGTAAAAGTATTTAATTCAGGTTGCATTTTAAACATCTTAAAATTAAAAGTATATGTAAATGCCGGGTTGAACCTACTTAGTGTTGTTGCGTTATGGTATTTTTCTACAAAAGTAATTGGAAAATGCATTTTTTTGGCCAATATAATTATTCGACGGTAATATAAGTAAGTAGTTAAGCATTTTGGCTTAGACAATGTTGATTCCAAGTATTGACAAAATAGGGAAGTATGTATATAATTATGTAAAAAAGTTATGTTTAGTGTTTTGTGTAAATATGTAATTGTGTAAATAAGAGTTCTTTGCAATAATGAGTATGTTTGTGTAAAGAGTGAGTAGTTAATGATATTTTTATGTGTTTTGTAGTATTTTTTAACAAATCTAAAGAAAACTTATAATTACGATTTAAGAGTGCAAAGCTGAGATTCGTCTTTAACCAAGATATAAGGTAATCCTTCTTGCTTCTTGAGATAAATATTGCCGTTGGAAGTCCAGCAGTATTGGTATTTTTCTTGTCTGGCAAATTCTCGCGCGAGGAAGTGTAGTCTCCTTGACTTTGCCGTAAGTGTCTCCGAAAGAAATAATGGCGAGGTGTTTGTTTTTATGCCCAAATGACTTACGTTCAGTTTTCTGGTTTTGTTAAACTTTCTTGCTGAGCCCAAAAACCTGTGCTTCATTAGTGTACTTGCCAGTTCCACGATGACAGTCGACTTGGAGGGATCTTTCCTATTTGGTATACGATACACATCGCGCAGATCAGATGGCTGCATATCGATTTCCAGATTTTTAGCAAGACAATGGACATAGCCAAAAAGATTCTCTTTATTTTCATTATCGGCTTTGGGTACAAATTTTATTTCAATGCATGTCTTTTTTAAGGATTTTTCTAGCAGGTCACATTTGTCATCCAATCTTGTGATTTCAGACAGCACTTCTTTCCTTTGCCCCTCTAGTCCGTCTATTTTTGTCTGAAGATGGTCCAGTTGGGATGACATAAAGTCGAGAGACTTCTCAATATCCTGGTTAGTACTGTTTATATTTGAAGTCTGAAGCCTTATTTCTTGTATACTGTTGCTCAATTTGTCAAGTTGTTTAGTTTGTGCTTCTTGAAATATTTCTAGTAGACTGCGTATCTCCATTTTAAAAGCTGTTAATTCATCATAATCTCCATCCTTCAATCGCCGCCGTTTGTCCCCGTGCGTAACATTAAGCTCGGAGGTAGACATCGACTTATTGAGCGGTGGCGAGTGATACATTACTACGCAATATGAATTAGGCTTCAACCGAAAGGATTCAAGGTTCAGTTTACCGTATCTCGGCTGGTGCTGATTGGCGTCCGCGGGACGTGTGCAGGGGTCTTGTTCGCTGGTGGCTTCGCGACGATTTCGATACAAATCGCCTTTCCGTCAAATATAGTGAGATCTCTGGTTTATTTGTTACAATTTTTAAGTTGCTTGAGCGATCACCGATGTAATAAGATTGCACTTTGTGTCCAACGAAACAAGGCACAATTCCAATAACGAGATTACTTGAATATTTTGGAAGAAAAATGTGTGAGGACGCACTCTAAACGCGGCTGAACTGTGCAGCGGTCCGAGGGAAAAATATTCAGAAGCAAATGCGTTTTAATTTTAATGTTTGATATTAATTGGCGTTATATTATTTTTAAGTTCCGAGGGTAACTCGTTAAATAATCGCGGTAACAAATACGTCGTTGTGCGCTTGCCGTAGGTATTGTTTGCTCGGCGTGTGCACAGCCGGCCCGCAGCGACCCACTATGTGACGAAAGCCCGATCTAGGTGGACAATATTATTTGACAATATTAATTAGCTTTAAAGGCGGTATCTATTGATGATTTGACTATATATAGTAAAAACAGTCATAATTGCATTTAGTTTTGGTACATTTAACGCTATAATACACAAACCAGTATACGTTGATACACGGTTATAAAGAATTACTACGTGATAGGAGGTCAGCTTAAAATGGTCATGTTTCTAAGAAGAAAAACAAAGCTGAATTATTTATGGCAATTGAAAATACATAAAGGATGAGTGAATAAAAATACAGAATGATATTTATTTTACAAAAATGTAATGAAATTAACTTAACCCATGAAACAACTTGAATATTACTCATCTTCATTGTCGGAATCATCAAAACTTGGCAAACTGATATTACCCAAACTGTCTTCTTGGCGTATTTTTCTAACGAAATCCAGTATTTTTGAATACGCCATTGTGCGTTTTTCTTCAGGAACACGGTCGAGCTCAAAAGCTAACAATTTTGCAAATTCTTTATTTCTTGGATCATTGGGTTGCTGCTCTGAGCATAGATGGATAAAAAACTAATTGAAAACTCATTAAAACTCATTTATTTCTGTAAATAGGCTTAAAAAAAGCACTTTTACACGTCCCAATATTAACCCTACCACTGCTTCAGGACAATAAATGGGCCAGTGCTGAGAAGAAGCAGCGCAAGAAACTCAGTCACTATTGTCAGCCTCGCCNCCGGGACACCGTATCAAAAGCTTTGGCAAAATCCAAGAAAACACCAATACATTTCTGCTTTTCTCCGATTTTACCAATGGTAAAGTTGACGAGATCATAATACTTGCTCTACCTAGTAGTTATCATTGATTCGAGCTATTAATACTTGGCACTTGTTATTTCCCTAACTTTAGCAGTTACAGGTCTGAGTCAGTGTCTGAGGTAATGTCTTATGTGAACGTGACAGGCAATTGAGGGCAACAATCATTACAAGTATTAAGCATATCTGAAGTCTCGCTGAATTTTAATATTAGAAAAACACCGCACCGCTTCCATACCTCAGGCACAGACTTGGTTATGCGCTAGCCCTGTACCTCTAGCATGAACAACTTTCGTTTCGTATTCGACAAAATTCGATACTCAACCTTCGAATTAAACGATAACGTGACAATTTTGATTTTCAAAATAAGTTTCGTGAAACCATTTCTCATACTAAGTTCATTTTACGACACGTTCACAGGGGCGCTGTTGTAGTTTTCGTACTAACGCAAACGATTCGAACTCGAAAGTTTTTCGTGCTAGCCGTACTGTAGTTCTTCAAGTAGCCAAATGTCGTCCACTGATGGACAAAGGTCTCCCTCAAGGATTTGCACAACGACCGGACCGGTCATGCGCTGTCCGCAATTCCGCATCCAGGTATCCATACCTAGTGTGTAATACCTACTTCTTAATTATGTTTCCCTCTATCGTCAACAGGTCCACTTGGCGACAAATTCGCTCGCCTCTGGGAGGAAGAGGTCGCGAGAGCAAACGGCAAGAAGCGTACCCCCAGCCTCCTCCGAGTGATCCTCAGAGCGTACGCCGCACGATGTATGCTTTACGGAATGGTGCTGCTGTTCATGGAGTGTGGGATAAGGTAAGTTTAGTTGTAAAGTTAATTAAGTCTAGCCGCAGACTACCGTCTTTGCCGGCCGTTACTTAGGTCAGGCATGTTTGAAAGTGAAAATGCCCACATTGCTATCGGCAGATTTTTAATACAAATTAGAACAGGGCCTAACTATCGGCTGACGAATTCTGCGGGGTGTCTAACTCATCAAAACCCAAAGCGGTCGCATTAGACTGCGAAACAATTGAGATCTATTGTCTCGATTCGCGGGGCCAGGGCTACGAAACCTACGGTGCATTCATATTAAGTCATGGCGTTTAGGATGTCGTTAATTCGTTCAATTTCTTCGTAGAGACACTCTTATAATCACAATTCGACCGCAGGAAGTAAAGATTTCATGTCATTGACTCCTAAGGATAACTCCTCAGTTATTTTTTCCCCGTGTCTTTTCACGACTAAAATATGCTTTCATTAAAATTAAGTAACGTCTTTTCTTTTAATGTCGTCTACATAGAGCACAAATAATAATAATAATAAATACACTTTATTGCACACCAAACAAATAACATAACAGAAGAAAAGGAACACACAAGGTACAATTAGGCGGTCTTATCGCTATGAAGCGATCTCTTCCAGACAACCTATGGTGAGGACAGTTACTTGAAACAAATATGAAGGGGAAGGCGGTGTCGACACTAAAGAAATAAATTATAATAAAAGGCATACAATTTAAACCAAAACNGTAGTGATATGCAAGTACTTTTCCCGGAAACAAAAGTTGCGCAAACAAAACAAAAATAACAGCATTAAACATTTGGTGAGAGTGTATTATTTTTGTATAAATCTGAAATCGGCTATTATTGGCTATTTATGGCTAATAACTGCTTTTAATCCGTTACTAGCCAATTGCTATTAATCGGATTATTAGCACTTACCCATCTCTAACGATGGCGAGTGACCTTTACATTATACTGTCGTTATGTACGCGTAGACACAATTAAAGCTCACTCGCCTTCATGAGTCGCAAGAACTATACACTCTATTACCGTTTTTATAAGTTACCATTACCTAATACCTTCTTCTTCTTCTTTTTTGATGATGTTGGCAATACACGTCGAGGTCGACTTGATTTGTGCGATTTTCAAGTATTTATGTGATACAAGTTACAGAATGAGATCAAGTAATGATATAATGAAGGATGATAGATGATAACCCTTCCCACCCTTTGAGTCTCAGTAAAGTTGTGGTGCTTTACTGAGACCTCCTATGGACAACTTGAGAGAACCAGAAGAATCACGATGCACTGTTTTGCTTCACTTGCCCACACTCATGCACGTTTACGAACACTCAATGGTTAATAATCCACCATTTTTACACATTAATAGTCGCCCAAACACAAATTTGAGGAAATAAAACAAAACCGCTAACATGACGCTTCAGATTCCCGCCAAGAAGTCCTTACCTAATACCGTTTTACATTTTGAAAACTAGGCCGGGCGCATACCGCGCGCCGTCTCGCACCAGCGGGCCGCTCAAAGCGGGCAACGTGTGTCGCTACGTGCGGCCGGTGCTACGCGACGCGGCGCTACACCGTCGCAGCTCGGCCGCGCAGACGGACGTGTGCGCGCTGCCTAACCGCTGGAGCTCGGATGGATACCTGGCTCATAAGGTCAGTTGTAAAGAATTATAGTCCACAGTGTCAATATAATTAGTACCAGTGGGCATCTCAAAGCAATGTGTCGCTACGGACGGCGTGGCGCTACGCTAATGTAGCTCAGCTGCGCAGATAGACGTGTGCGCGCTGCCTAACCGCTGGAGCTCGGACGGATACTTGGCGCATAAGGTCAGTTCGTTCGTTCGTTTCAGCCAAATGACGTCCACTGCTGGACAAAGGCCTCCCCCTAGGTTTTCCATAATGAACGGTCCTGCGCTGCCCGCATCCAGGCTCTTCCCGCGACCTTTACCAGATCGTCGGTCCACCTAGTAGGAGGCCTGCCCACGCTACGTCTTCCAACCCGTGGTCGCCACTCGAGAACTTTCCTGCTCCAACGGCCATCGTCTCTACGAGCTATGTGCCCCGCCCACTGCCACTTGTGATTTTAATGATGAAGGTCAGTTACAAATAATTATAGTCCCACAGTGTCTATAGCATGACTTGTACTAGTGGGCCTCTCAAAGCAGGCAACGTGTGTCGCTACGTGCGGATGGATACCTGGCGCATAAGGTCAGTTGCTTCTTTTTCTTCTTTTATTTTGGCCACGACTTGGTTCTGAGGACCATGATTTCGCCAATGTAGGTCAGTTGCTAGGCGCTCTAGTCCCACAGTGTCAATATAATTAGTACCAGTGGGCCTCTCAAAGCAATATGTGTCGCTACGGACGGCGTGGCGTTACATTAATGTAGCTCGGCCGCGCAGACGGACGTGTGCGCGCTGCCTATCCGCTGGAGCTCAGATGGATACCTAATGCATAAGGTCAGTTACAAAGAATTATAGTCCCACAGTGTTTATAGTATAATTAGTACCAGTGGGCCTCTCAAAGCAACATAACATGTGTCGGTTCGGACGGCCAGAGTTACGAGACGTAGCACTACACTGACGTAACTCAGCTTCACAGATAGACGTGTGCGCGCTGCCCAACCGCTGGAGCTCGGACGGATAATATACCTGGCGCATAAGGTCAGTTGTAAAGAATTATAGTCCCACAGTGTCTATAGTATGACTTGTACCAGTGGGCCTCTCAATGCAACATAACATGTGTCGGTTCGGACGGCCAGAGTTACGAGACGTGGCGCTACACTGACGTAGCTCAGCTGCGCAGACGGACGTGTGCGCGCTGCCTAACCGCTGGAGCTCGGACGGATACCTGGCGCATAAGGTCAGTTACAAAGAATTATAGAACTCCTAATAGGCCAGTAGAATTAAACACAAAAATGAATTAAATCGGAAATAATTCCTACTAAAGATTTTAGTGCTCTAATGGCTTCATTAGTTGCCCATAAAGACTCTCCTAGGTTTTCGACTTCGACGGAGTTGTGCTTAATTGGTGGGGGCCCCCCAAAGGGGCGCTTTTTCGGTTTTCCGGTTATACCGCGTAAAGGACTTACCCTATCGAAAAGTGGTCTTCCTGACGGTTGAAGGGCATTTAATCCTGCATTAAATAAGACCAAATTCATATGTTTTGGACAAACCGTTCTCGTGCAAATGTTCGGCAAAGTAGAAAATATGTGTATAATTAATGACCCTCTCCACGTCCAATAGCTCGTCACCCGTAGGCTCCAAGCCTTGTAACCCCACCACTTAAGCACAACTCCGTCGAAGTCGAAAACCTAGGAGAGTAGTAATGGGCAACCAATGAAGCCATTAAAGCAATAAAATCTTTTGTAGGAATTATTTCCGATTTAAAATCTAATTCTACTGGCCTATAAGGTCCATAGCGCACTTATCAACCCGGAAAGGGATCAACACTTTCATCAAAGCCTTTCCCCGCGTTGTCAACTGCGTTGCCCCAGAATGGTCTGTGGCTGTCCCCCAGGATTTTGGGCTACCGATTAGAAGATGATAGTTGATAGTACTCATGACATGATACGCCAATGGGCAAGGCGTTTTATGGTGCGGATAAGGCTAAGAACTCACGGTGCGATTTTGACCCGCGCCTGCGGCAGTTGTGGAATTGCGGTTTTATTTCAAAACTCACGGGAGCGGTTATTTGCGCGGTTATTCTAAGAACTCACGGCGCGATTTTAGATTACGCCGCGTACTAAGTCACTGGTACAAAATGGTCGCCCGCCGATCGGGTGGTTTCCGTGCGGTTTTCGCTCGGGCGAAGTATCTGCATTCTACAGAAGCTGCGGGCCCGCGGGTGAAAATCGCGCCATGAGTTCTTAGCCTAAGTGTGCCGCCTCGACTTGATACGATTACGATCCGTTTCCAGGTTGATAACAACCCACCACCACCCATGGCCATACCAACCTTGCGGTTATACTGGCCGAATCGCGGGAGGTGTGCGCGGAATTGCGGCTGCCTAGGGCAGATTGCACTCCACCGCGCCACACTTCTTGACTCCCTACACACTAGCGGCGTAAGGGGGGGGCCGTCCGCCCCGGGTGCCAAGCCTCAGGGGGTGACATAAGTCGCGCAGATTAATACTGATTAGCGGATCTGCCATGACAAGTCTGCGGTCTATCTCATGATACGGGGGGTGCGACTGTCTTTCAATCTTCGAATCGGTAGGTAACCCCTACCTGGGGGGTAGGGGGTGCCATATGACTTATGACGGGGGGGGGGGATCGCCCCGGGTGCCAACCCATGCTACGCCGCCACTGTCCCTACAAGTTATTTTTCTACGTCCTTGTCCCTATAGTACAGTTCTCCCCCTTCTGGGGCCTGACGTTCACGGCACGGATGGCACCATCTGGTGCCGTAGCGGTCCTCCTCCTATGCCGTACGGCTGGCATAGGAGGAGGACCGCTAGCGCTGCAAATTCGCGCAGCCGGGCGAAGTTCGCCTCCGAAGAGACGAGATCGGAGTACCAGGTTGATAAGTGTGCTTCGTTGTTTACTCCCCAGATGTCAGTGGTACCGACGTGTATGCCGACATTGCCGCAGCGCGCGGCGCCGGCGCCCGGGCCGTGTGCCGCGCGGCGCCTCACGGTGCCCAATGCACGGCCCGCGCCCTCTAGAGACGATTCTAGAAGGATTCTGCTGAGTGATATCGGTGAGAACTGTTTTGTCACTTATACATGTTTGAGCTCTTTGCCCCCTCTTTGTCCCTCTAGCTCAGGGTTTCCCAATTTTTTTTTGCCAAGGAACCCTAATTGATTATACTTTTCCTAGCGGAACCCCCGTACTACTCCGCCCGCACGCCCTGCCCCTCCCTTGTGCGTAAACAAGTCGGTGCGAGCGAACAACATCGGTCACGAAACGTGGGATAATATTTTTTACGGAACCCTTGCGGCCTTTCCACGGAACCCCTGGGTTCCGCGGACCACCTTTCGGGAACCGCTGCTCTAGCTAGCGATGCGAGAGACATTGACTTTCTTCCTTCCTTGGTCTCTCTATCCAGGGCCGTCTTTAACCTACTAGGGGCCCTGGGCATTTAAAGATTTTAAGGATTAAGGCCCTTCTCATCTGGAAAAAGGTCTTATTAGCAGATGGGGGCCCCTTCAGTCGCGGACGTGCCCAAAGTGCCCAGTGGGAAAGAGGGGCCTGTCTCTATCTCATTCCCCCCTTCTATCTGATTTTCACTATCTAGAAAGAAAGAAAGAAAGAAAGATACATTTATTACAATGGACATCACACAAATACAGTCAATTACATAGACATGACAGTGGCACATAATAATAAAAGAAGAAAAAAATAAAAACAAGAGTAAACTGAGCAGTGCCACCCATTCACCAACAAGATGCCCACTGCAACGGGACCCCACTCAGCATATGCCGTGGCCCACGGTGACGAAGGCCACGGCGCTGGTTTTCAGTGTGCCTATCTTCTATCTACTATCTTCTACCCTCTATCTCATTGTCCTCTCTTTTTCCTGCTCTATCCTATTCTCTTCGTTTCCCTTTCGCTCTCTCCCTCCTTAACTGTCTTTTCCTCTGCTTTCTATGCCCATTATTTTCCCTCTCCCGTTCTCCCGCTTTCTTTCTCCACTTCTTCCCAAGACTAAAGCCTGGTCCGTGAGCACGTAGAATCCCGTCCAATGACCCCAAGCTGCCCATCCTTGTCGCTCGCACGTAACTATGTTGCTGTCGCGCTCGCACACTCACTGCGGGCGCGCGTCGCACAGTCGCGACAGCAATATAATTACGCGCGAGCGATAAGGATGGGTAGCTTGGGGTCATTGGACGGGATTCTACGTGCTCACGGACCAGGCTCGAAATGCTGGTAGAGCAAGCTATATTTAGAATGTATAAAGGTGCCCTGAAAAGGGTCTACATATTAATAAATTTCCCGCTTTCTCTCTTTTATTTTACCAATTTAAGGCCACAATTTATTCCCTATACAAATGACACCTGTATGATCCTTTTCCTGAAAATTAATAGCAATAATCCACTCCCCCAGGGTTCACGTCGATGGTTCCCGAGCTGTCCCGCTCGGCGGACCCCGTGTGGGCGCTGGGCAAACGAATGCAAGCCGAGTCGCCTGCTTCCACTTCTACTTCCAAGTGAGTATCATAGCTTTAGCAAGAGAATGGCTAGTTCATAATCCAGTTTATTTTTAACCCATCAAACCATTAGCGGCGACCGCTAAAGGTCACTTAAAAGACCGAGTAATAATTGATTTCTATTGTTCTCTATTCGCGGGGATTGAAGGATTAAATGACTTAAAAAAGAGGAGGAGGTTCTATGTTCCACTGTATGTATTTTTTTTTACTGTAAGACGTTCATTGCTGAAGAAAGGAGTCAAGGATGTCCTCCGTGGTTAAGGATTCCGGGTGAGGCTCGCTTTCATCTTCGGCCTGATCGTCACTTACCATCAGGCGAGATATAGGCCAAGAGCTTCCTCATTGTCAAAAAACCAACGATTGGTCCCACGCTGCCTTTTGCGCAGGCTGGCAGATCCGCTTTGGTTGCAACAAAGTGGATTTGCCAGCCACTGGGTATCACTCCACTGGGTAGGAGTCGAGTCTTCCAGTGCATGGTAGCGACTCGAGTTCAGAATATGCCCTACTAAAAATGTTTGATGTACCAAGAACGATTGTTAAAAACTAATGTGTTTCTTGCAAGGTTTCTGTCTCGCGGCTCGTCTTATCGCTCGCCTTGCCTGAGCATCGACCGCAGCAGCGACTGGATTCCGCAGTCCGTCTATGTGCCATCTTCCAGAAGTAAGTCACTTGTACTGACAGACAGTACTGGGAATAAGTGCTATGGTTTGACGTACGTCTAACATTAACACCATTTGAACAGGCATATTTTATTGACACCAAATGAAGGTTACAGTTTTACTGAATATCAAATATCAAATTCAAATCGTTTATTCAGTTCATTAGTACATAGGCCCTTTCCAGGGCACATATACCCGTCCCAAATATAGCTTGCCCTACCACCACTTTGGGACAACATATGGGCTTGTTGTTGTCACTATATGTATCAGTTGGGTCCACTTTATAGTGAGATCCTGTCACTCTCTAGTAGCTGACACAGTGGTGCCAACTGGTGATCCATTGATCTGCCCAGTAAGGTCCTGTCACTCATCAGTGCCGTTAACTACTGGCAATTCGGCAGTCAAACATTTGTTGGAATTTGAATATTTGGTATTCGGCTTGTGGCCGAATATACTATTTGTTGTAGGTCTAATTATATTGTAAAGTACTTGATCGTTTTATCTCAGGTTTAATCCCACTAAAACTAACTCGGTTCTTAAAGCATAATATCTAACAATGTATTGTTTTCCAGTGTACGGCGACTGCCGGGCATGGCGTAGTTCGCTGCCCGACGTGCGGCGCGCGGGCACAGAAGAACTATGCCACGAGGCGGACTTATACCTGCGTCGGTCTACAGACAACCTGCGGTACACTTCGCTCGACAGTGAGTGCCGGTTCTAATGATTATTTATTTAGCCTTGTAGACTTGAAGCGTATGATACGACGAAAGAGTGCAGTTTTACGGTTGCTAATTTTTCTGCAATGAGGGTTTTTGCGAATGAAAGATCCGCTAGATGGTGGGACGTGGATGTGGGGTCTGACTGCTGCGTGATTGGTGGATTTTGACATATCAGTCAATGTCATGTCTATAATATAACCAATCATGCAGCATTTGGACCTCGCGTCTACATATTGCCATCTTGCGGATTCATTCGCGAAAACCCTCATTAATTTTGAACCTCATGTTGAAGATCTAAACTACAAAAAATATGGAAGCTGGTATATCCACATACCCGCCATTTTTTTTCTAATATGGCGGATGGGAAGATTTGTCCCTTCTGGTGCATAAGGTCCATAGTGGCATTACGTCTACAGTATCATTTCGTCCATAGTGTCATCACGTCTAGATTTGTCATTTTGTGATTTGATTTGCTGGTGAATGTACCAGACCCGATCCACAGGCAGATGTAGATCTCATTGAACTTGTTGGTATCACTTTTTTTTGGTTATTATTTGCGAAACTATACGAAAAATTGGCTTGATTATAATTTTAATTCCTGTCTTATTCACAGTGAATACCGGTTGCGTTTGCGGTTGCTCCTGCGTTTGCGTCCGCAGCGGCGATATCGCAACCACTACCATCCCCGAAGCCGTGGACGTGGACAATGTGGGCTTGGGAAACGTGGGAATAAGCGTGGGCAACACAAGCGTGGGATTGGGCAGCGTGGGCGTGAGCGGGCGGCCGTATATCCCGCGCGAGCCGAAGCAGTTACGTTTAGGGCATATGGTTAAAGTCATCGCGCCGCATGGAAGGCTCGTTATTGGCCGTGTTCGGTGAGTTTCTTTGCTGTTTATGATTTATTTTTGGCGAATGGATAAATGATTAAGACTCACTCCATTTTTATGTCAAACTAGCTTTCCGCCCGCGGCTTCGCCCGCGTGGAATTTTGTCTGTCACAGATAAACAATATCGCGCGCGTATTTGCTCACCGTTTAGACCTACCCTGGACTACGACAAACATTTTAAAACCAAAATCAGCTCAATCGGCCCAGCCTTTCTAGAGTTTTAATCAGACTAACGAATATCAATTCATTTTTATTTATACAGGGTGTTAGGTAAATGGGTATATGAGCCGACACTAGCCCATGTTAACATGGGCATATAAATGGTATGGTAAAGTCAGAAAATTGATATCTTCATTTTAACTATTTTAATTTTCATACAAATCGGATTTTATAAAATTTATTTTGTATGAAAATTAAAAAAATTAAAATGATGATATCAAATTTCTGACATTTACATGGGCTAGTGTCGGCTCATATACCCATTTACCTAACACCCTGTATAGATATACCTTGAAGCATCAAACCCTTAATTAAAAGTGAATAGGCTTGGCGCTTAATTCAGTGCTTGAGGTATGGGAGCGGCACGAGAGGGGTGACATTGACGTGACAGAACATATAAATTAGAAGGAGATAAACAACACAAGTCTCATTGCGTTGGACGTTATAATAACACCCTCCAGTGAGTTAAGCCCTACGCATAATCTATATCAATAATGACGGCCCAAATACTCGCTTCCCGCCACGCTTTGGGCTTGATTTTTCGACCGAAGTCAACCTAGGCCCACCTACGCTTCCTAATTGAGTCTTATCAACTTAATGGGATTCTTTGTTTCCTTATGTCTTGTTACCTGCTTCTACTGACTTTTTAGTTTAAAGGTTTCTAAATAATTGTTTTTGTCTACTAACCATAAATAGATATAAGTACTTACTAACATTAAATGTAATTTCAAATTCGCAATGTGGATCTAATAAAATCAAGTGGCAGTGGGCGGGGCACATAGCTCGTAGAGACGATGGCCGTTGGGGCAGGAAAGTTCTCGAGTGGCGACCACGGGCTGGAAGACGTAGCGTGGGCAGGCCTCCTATTAGGTGGACCGACGATCTGGTAAAGGTCGCGGGAAGAGCCTGGATGCGGGCAGCGCAGGACCGTTCATTGTGGAAAACCTTGGGGGAGGCCTTTGTCCAGCAGTGGACGTCATTTGGCTGAAACGAACGAACGAATGTGGATCTATCTGTAAGCTCACTTGCATTTTAATCAAATAAATTAATAAATAAATAAAGAAACCGTTTCGTCCCCTTTCCAGCTACGTAGGCCTGGCGGGCGGGACCGCAGCATCCAGCGGCATGGTGGTAGGGGCGGAGTTCCCGTGCGCGCAGGCCCCGGGACTGGCCCGGAATGACGGGACACACCGCGGCCGCCGCTACTTCCTCGCGCCGCCCGGACACGGAGCCCTATTCGTGCCCTTCTCGAAAGTCGTCATGGCTTGGGCCAACTGAACGTCTTTTGTTTTACAGTAAGTTTCAATTCACGTTCTATTCTAATACCGGTCGCAGATATGTGTCAAGATGTTTGCAAAGACGTTTGTCAAGGTGTTTGCATAGATGTTTGCTAAGATAAACAAATTGGGGTAGCTGAACGAACAGAGGTACCATCGGCAACAGTGTTAACTATCCATTGCCTGTCATGTCGTCTCGTTCTATCACAAAGAATCACCATTTAATGAGAGCGAGAGCAAAAACGGAAATGGATATTTAACAGTGTGGCCGTGTGTACCTCGGTATCACCTTTTTGCTTTCGTTGATGTTCTATTCTAATATCGGTCATAGATAATGTGTCAAGATGTTTACAGAGATACACAAATTCGTGTAAGTTGAAAAAACGGTGGTACCCCAGTATCACCTTTTTGCTTCTGTTGATGTTCTATTCTAAGAACAGCGATGCGACTGTTTCAACTTAAATTAAACATAATATGTAGACAGTTTATTTCAAAATGTAAGTTCTCTACACTTACTTTATTTAAAAGTAAAAGTTATCTATACTTTTCAGTTAGAAACCAAAATGTAGATCGATTGCAAGATTATAGTGAATTTATCTTAGCGCTAGATGGCGCTTCCCAATGCAAAAGAAATGTTTTATTATTTACAGTACAGTAAAGGTAACTTTTAAAACACACACTTAGGCGGTAAGCCGTTATAAGGGAAAATGTATTACATAATAGCAATGTTAGAGCAATAAATGAAACTATGCCAAAGAATATGCTTAATACTTTCATTTTTGATCGATTTATATCATAAACGATTGCGATTGTAAAGAGTACGGTACCTAACTAATAAAATATGATTATTTACAATGTTTGAAAATATTTATCAGTATAATAATTGCCTATAGAAAATAATGTGTATATTGCATCTGAAAACATTATACGATGAAGTACACTATAATGTAAAGTAATAACTGCATAAGGCCTAAATTATTATAAACCATATTTACAAATAAATACACAATTTATACATAAGGAATTGAAGTAATGTGCCGATTGTACTCGAAGATATGCACTATATTTATTTTTAAAGTACCTAAACAAAAAATAATAATTTAAAACCCACATTTTCATCGCCAAATGAATCAGAATTTGAACGTGTGTTCACCCTTTGTTAAGGCTAGTTATACACTGTAATATAACGTGTATAAATATAAGCCTAGGTGGAGTTTTTGGTATTTCTCTTGCCCTTATATGCTACTTAAAATATAAAGGTAACAGGGAGTAGTATTGTCTTTTGTGTGAACTTAAGGCGTTCATGTTTCAAATAAAGATATATTTTTCATATAGCTGTGTGGTGTACGTCATTATAAGACCACACGAGACCTGTAGGCCTAAGATGCGCGCCGTGATAACTGTATGGGCAAAATCGATAAAATGCCGTGATAACCGCTTATCGCGGCGCGCATCTTAGACCTACTGGGGGCGTAGTGTGAGTTTAGGTTAAACGCATTCGTTGTCGACTGCGTAAAAAAGTGTCATTAAATGTATGACGGATCGTACAGCGCCCATAGCGGAAACTTTCAAGAACTAAAATCTTCATATGTTTTTAACGCGCTCGTTAGTGACCTGCCCCCCTAGACAAAACGCACTTTTTGATCGAATCGAAAATCGAATCCGTCAAAACTCCATACAAAAAAGGGGCTTTTCGACCACTTTTCGACTGGTTTGCGATTATAATTTGCACTTTGTCTAGACCCACTGCCCCCCTAGACAAAACGCACTTTTTGATCGAATCGAAAATCGAATCCGTCAAAACTCCATACAAAAAAGGGGCTTTTCGACCACTTTTCGACTGGTTTGCGATTATAATTTGCACTTTGTCTAGACCCACTGACGACGTTTGACGTAAACTCACACTAACACCCTTATTCACAAACATTACTATGAGGTCTCACAGTGCGCGTGGACGCACAGGGTCACATATGAACAGAATCACAGAGCTTTATTCAACGCTGTGCGTTCCATTTGCTGCTTCATTTAAGCAAGCATCGTTTGTGAATATGGGCGTAAGCCCTCAGGATATAGACCCAATATACTGAACTATCCTGACCGTGACATTGACAGAGGGGCGCGACCGTCAATACCGGATCGCTGGTTCTGATTTTTGCCATGTTGGAAACTATACAGGGTGGAAACGATAAGTGATCTCATTCGATTATTTCTAAACTATACAAGATATCGAAAAACTGGTTACTAATCTTGAAAATGCTTCACAAGCTCTATCCAACGGTACCAATATTAGGTTACAGAATTAACTGGATCTATCCGAAAACTTGATGTTTTCAGTCTCCATACTAAATGTATGCCAGCCAAACAATAATAGAAGTATTTTTTTTTATTAAATAATAAACATTTTAAATGAACTCGTAAATTGCATTTTTATTTAAAATTATTATTGGAAAACATTGGTTTCAGGCTTTACTTGCTATAATATTAATAAGACATGAATGCCATGACTGTGGCTGTACTAAATGTATGGAAGCTGGAAACATTGAATTATCGAATGGATCCAGTTTATTATGTAACCTATTATTGGTACCGTTGGATAGAGCTCGTGAAGCACTTTCAGGATCAGTAACCAGTTTTTGAATATCTTGTATAGTTTTTAATATTATGTGGTTTTACTAAATGTATGGAAGCTGGAAACATTGAATTTTCGGATAGATCCAGTTTATTCTGTAACTTATTATTGGTACCGTTTGATAGAGCTTGTGATGCACTTTCAGAATCAGTAATCAGTTTTTCGATATCTTGTATAGTTTAGAAATAATCGAGTGAGATCACTTAACGTTTCCACCCTGTATAGTTGAACGATGGTGGCGTCCCCTTGTTAATGGGTTTGGTGGGACAGTTCATTTTAGGTCATCTATATGCATTGACAATGTTTTATACAAATGTCAGACGGTTATCATGTGAATACACCCTAAATGTCTTCTATTAGAACGTGTGCTATTATTGGTACTATAACTTCATGGCTTAATATGGAACATTATTTCGGGTGTTTAGTAAATAATAACCAAAGTTTGTTATAGTAACGTAAGCTCAACTATAGTGGTCCTTAGGAATTGATGTGGATAAGTGATCTATGTACTTGTGTACTTATACATATATCTGCATATAAAGGTTTTTTACCAGCTTGATATAGCGTGTAATTGAAGTAATAACGTAAAGGCCTACACACCCCAACTGTATTAGGGTACATTGAAGCTACAATGTTTCTGATATTTATATAAAAGTAGAATAATTCTGAATAAGTCAGATTTTACGTTTATTCAATTACACGTATATTTGCTATACCAGGCTGATAAAAATCTTACAATTAAACCAATAATAGTAAATAATATTATTTAAAAGGTTTTACCCTACAGTAAATTTTTACTATGTATATCCAAATCTAATACCAAACTCATAATGTTAGTTTGTTGTATCCTATGTATGTATTTATTGCATAGTTGCAAATTGCTCATGCTTTTTTAAATATTGTGGTGCTCTAGTAATTTATAATTTTAAATTATTTTTAGATGAAAGTTTATATTTTAAACTATCTACATGATTTTGTATAAATGTTTTGCGTTCTTATTTAAAAGTAGCTCATTTATACTAGTTTTGATTGCCCTTTAAAGTATGATTACTTGTTATAATGACATATGAGGAAGGGGAAAATTATACTCAATTTTACAAAATTCTTGTCTCATTGCATAAGAATTAGAGATGAAACGGATATCCGGCAACTATCCGGTAGGCCGGATATCCGGCCTAAATTTACTATCCGGCCGGATACCGGATAGTAGCTCACTATCCGGCCGGATACCGGATATTAAAAAACTACGAAAATTTCCTATAATAAAATGAAACACATTAATCTTTGAGTTAAATATCAATAAAATTGCTTATAATAATGTCGGTTTTTATCTAAAGTCCAAATAGTAACAAAAAAGCCATATTTACTTACAAAAAACTAATTTCCTTTCTGGGCTATCCACTCTAATGACGAATACATAAATAAATAGTAAATATATTTTAATGTCGAAATATTGCCAAATAAAATAGGCGATCTTTTTTTTACTGATGGTCTGATGACATACAGGGTGACTTTGAAATCGTTGGCATCCTTTTAATATAAGACTACTCATGATACATAGTGCATTCCCCAAATATGAGACAAATCCAATGAGATTTTTTGTCATTATTTTAACTACTTAGTTCTAAGCACTTCTAGTTATAGTAATTCCATGTATGCGTGTTTGTCTTTTTGGTTGTCCTAATAAATAAAATAAACTATGTATTTGTATTAGTGTGCTCTTAAAAAGAGTTTAAAACTATTGTACAGTCAACAGCACATCATCCTATACATTTTGTTGCAAAATAACACTTAATACATTGAAATAAGATGCCACAGAATGAAGATTGATGTGCTGTCGTCTGTACAAGATTTCAAATATTGAAATTTTAATTAATTTGATATGACTCATATTTGGGGAATCATGAGTAGTCTTATTTTAAAAAGAATGCCAACGATTTCAAAGTTACCCTGTATAATGCAGTTCAGTCAGATTACGCAGCAAGTAAACTAATTGAATTTTCGCTATTCAATCACATACTCACGATGGCAACCGAAATCGCCCGAATTGATCTGCCCCTTAGACGAGTGGCAAAATCTGACATTCTATTCGAACAGATTCGATTTTCGAAAAGTGTGACTTGTCTAGTCTACTAGACCCACTGATCGCGTTTGAAGCACCTGTGCGGCGCTAAACTCGTTACGACATGCAACATGACAATGGGACAACTATCCGGCCGCCGGATATCCGGCTATCCGGCCTAGCAGCTCGCCGGATATCCGGTATCCGGTATCCGGCCAAACAACTATCCGTTTCATCTCTAATAAGAATATACAAAAGTTTTTAACAGAGAGTTAATGAATATATTTTAATAATACAACGTTTTTAAAACTCATGTTAGACAGCTAGAATTTTTAGAATGAATTCCGTTCCTCGTATGTCTCACAGTTTTTAGCATAAATCTGCTCTAAACTTGAATTATTTGGATTGTGTATGACCTGGTTAGATTAGTAGGTATGTGTATTGGTGTATAGTGTAACATATATTGGTAATTGGAGTTAATACGTAGTGTCTTAGATCTCTTCTATTTAAATTGTATGTGTATGAAAGATAACAGGAAAACGGCGTTTTGCTGCGTTAAGAGTCCCTTAGATTGATAACGTATTCGTTTTTTGTCAGACTTTTGAAATCGGTGCATGTAGACAATGTGAAGTTCGCTTTCGATTCGAAGATTTCGAAACCGGATCGAAGTTCAAAACTAGTTTCAATTTGAAGCATATATTGAGGATTTTGATTGGTAGAATTTAGATTTTTAGAAGGAGAACCTATGGCTGAAGTTAATTTTAAGTTTTGCTGTTACAACAGCTCATGTATTCAAATAAGAATACGTTTAAAATCTCAGACAATCGATTTGAAATTAACATGGATAAATTTTCACATTGTCTAGCTAGATGCACCTTAGACTTCACGGTTAATACAGCAGACGCCGTTATGTAACCAAAGCAAATGTATATCTATCTATGTATAATATATTATAAACATGTTTCTAGTACGTATTGTAACTATGGGATCGGAAGCAAAGATTTTGGTTGGGGCAATCTTCGATAAGTTTTAACTTAGGGCACATAGCTGAAGCCTACAATGAGATTGTGTGCAGTGTCTTATTAGAATACGTGTAGACCAGTCTTTAAGATAAGTAGGGAGTTATCTCTGAGTACATAAAGATATTTGTATATCTATGTATACTTAGAGTAGGCGCACACCGTTGATTTTTCGTCGGCCGATAGTTTAGTCGGGCTGTTGATCAGTATGGGCATGTATGGGAGTGCGCACACTACGCCGATTAGATTTGGCCGATTCTTCATACAATTTGAAATCGGGCACAACTATCGGCCGACGAAAAATCAACGGTTTGCGCCTACTCTTATGTCGTATAATCCGGGCTGTACTGTTTTTGTTTCAAGAAATTTCATCTACGGCCTATTTGAGTTTTCACGTAGGTAATAATAAAAATATACATTTTAAATTCGATATCGTATGTACTTTGAAGGTAACTTGGGTTGACATATCGTTATAACGTTAATGAACAGTCAGTGAAGTGATTAGGAGACGTATTTTAACGCATTCGAATTCAAATTCGCCTATTTTACACCAGTCGTATTAGATTCGTAGATTTTTTCCTTGTCGTATGCGAATTCGAATATTTAAAATATGTTTTTTGTGCGGTACAAGTTAAGATACTTTTGATAGCAGTCTACGGCACAAATGATCTCATTTTAATTTTTTTAAGCTTTACACTTAAGAAATCGCTTTACTGTGATTTTAAGCTTTTATTTTATACTTGAAGAGTGAGATTAATCAGTATTATTATTTTGTTAAACTTTATAGAAGTAATTAATTTTATACTTGGATATTTTAGTGCGTTTATACAGAAATACCTCTATTGGCCTATAAATACTTTTAATGTTTTTAAACAACTTATATTCGGAGAGTGCAATGATTTTAAACTAAAAATTAACAGTATGAAGTGAAGATTTAAAAATAGCAGACATTACTCCATGTCATTGGACGATTTTTTTTGTAATAATTTATTTATTATCATGCGTGAGTTTAACTTCAAATTACTGGCCTATGATGAAGATTGTGTGAAATAATTCGGCTTTGACAGTGGATGAATATAGTATGAATTAACACTTGATGAATGTGCTGACTATCCTGTTATAAGTAATGCACACGTTTGCTAATATTTAGAACAGTATTTTTACATATTTTACATTAAATAAAATATTTTGGTCAATTTGTATGGATTACAGATTATTTGTATTATGTTACAGATACACAACTATTAGATATTTTGGCCAGCAATGTTTAAAGCAAAGATATCACAATATGACTAAGGCCCAGAACAGACGGTGAAACGCAACTGCAACGAAACTGCAACTGCTAGTTACTTTTGAGTTGCATCTAAGTTTCTGCCATAGCGTCCGTTGAGAGACCACACATGACGCAACCAGTTTGAAACTTTCAGTTTCAGTTTCATTCATCAGAATCGTCAGAAAGTTGCAGTTTCGTTGCAGTTGCGTTTCACCGTCTGTTCTGGGCCTAACTGTTCTACATATTGGCATCGTGAATTTAAATAGGTGTTCATCAAATGTGCCAAAAATTGGCTAACTGTCGTTCAACTTCAGTTCAAAATATACTTAAGATTGTAAATGTTCGTCTCGTACTAAAATGTATTGATTCGTGTAAAAATAACTGTTGTTAAGAAACTAATGCTTCAACTGTTACTATTACGATTCTCAAAACTTCACTTCTAAATACATGAATTTATCCACAAACTTCTACATGTAACTGTGTGTAATACCTACTTGTGTAAAAACTAGTATAATGTGTAGAATTTAAATATATGTATAGGCTACTAGTATTGAAAACCATAGTACTTAACATTTACATTTCTGTCTAAAAAAACAACTGTGTGGTAGGTTTTGAATGAATAGGTTCCTGGTATAATACCTTACGTCATTCTCTATAGTTTGACCATAGAGTAAGTTGGGATTATGCTAGGCGCATTGTATATTGAAGTGATCTAAGGAATTTATAATGGCCCACGTCTGTTGATTTTTTAGATAGTCTATATCTATTCTGTAACTCTGTGCTGTTAACGAGATCAAAAGAAATCTATTTTAAATATAATTGTATGAGATTATATGTTATTTGTAATGTACTAAATAAAGCCACAAAAAATATTTCAAACTTTTTATTTTACACAAAACAACGGTACAAATAAATGTAACAAGAACAACAAAATCATAAAACAACAATAGTGTTCATACTCGCTTCTAAAATTTCTTCTAAATTAGCACCAGGTAGAGCATAGTTCGAAATAAAATAGGAAGCAAAAGAAAAAGCAAAGAAAATAAAAGAACTGTGAAGAAAATATCGGAAGGACAAGCATTCTAGTTAGAAAGTAAGTTTTAAAGAATATTCGCAATAGAGAAGAAATATTTGTTCCCTTAAGAATAAAGAAAATAGAATAGTTATTATGTAGGTAGTTGTCAAGTATTAGAGAAAAGAAATAAGTTGGAAAAGAGAGAAAAAATATTAGATAGATAGATAGAAACGTGGAATAATGAAGTTAGAATAAAAGCAAAGTCAAGTATTAGAGAAAAGAAATAACTTGAAAAAAGAATGAAAACAATAGAGACAGACAAAAACAGAAAAAGTGAAAGAATGAAGTTAGAATAGAAGAAGAGAAGAATTAGAAGAAGCAAAGACAAAAGTAAAATAGTAAGCTAATGTAATGTTCTTCAATGGAGTTTTTGAAAATGAAACAAAATGCAATGGAAAGACAAGGGAAAATTGAAAAGAATATGAAGATAGAAAAAGAAGGTCTATAATTTTTATAGTTTGATAAGATAAAAACACGTAGATATGTCTGACCATACAAGTAGATGAAGTTTATCGGTAGACTTGAAAAAGAAGTAGGAAAATAGCACTGAAAAGTCAAGATAATAAAGAATTCGCAAAGAGAAAATGGCATAGAAAAACAGAAAATAGTAAAGAAGTAAAATTATTCTAATTCTAGAACTGATTGAAATAAAAGAAAAAGATAAGATGATGTGTGAAATAAAAGTGTATTGAGTAGTTGATAATGATAAATCGAGTTAAAGAAGTACAGCTGTAAGTATTTGTAGAAATTCTTGAAAATGAAAGAAATGACGCAGGTTGGTGAAGTGAAACAAAGCTCATAAAAACGATGATATTCTAAGAAGGTATAGTCGAAGACAGCGTATGTATTGGAATAAATGAAGAAAGTATACAGTTAGATAAAGAAATATAAAAGTATAGCACAAGTAAGGATAATAATGATAGTAACAGTACATGGAAGTTATATGATCATTGTTGTAAAGAGGAGTATGAAAAAGTGAGAAGTGAAGTTGAAATAATCTTGTGTGAAAATGATTAAAAATACAAAATAGTGATGAGAAAATAGTATAGAAGTAAGAATGTAAGATGTAAGTAAGTAAGACAACAAATGAAGAGAAAGACGATAGTTAATTTATAGAAAAGTTCGTATCAAGAAATTAAGAGGAACAAATAATTTATAAGAGGGAATTTAGATACTATAAACGAAAAGATACTTAGAAAAATGAAGAAAGATAAAATACAGATTAAGAATAAATGAAACAAAGAAAAAAGATAATAGTGTGTATTTCAAAGTATACAATATAAGAGAAGGATAAAATAGAGTAGGCTAGTAAAGATAAGAAATAAAGAAAGTATATAGAAAAAACGAGTAATAAAGTAAAGGATAGTATTTAAATAGAAGATATTTTATTTGCAAACAAGAGTACTTAGAATATAGTGAAGATAAAAATAAAATAAAAGAGAAGAAATGAAATAGTAAAATACTATGTTTATAAACAACTACCATATTTTATAATTCAAGATTTTGTGAAATAATAGTATGAAAGTGATAAAAGGATTATGAAGATTAAACGATGAAGATAACAGTGTGAAAAATAAGACAAAGAAAAGAGGTAAGATTGATCAGAGTATTAAAGAGAGTAGGTAGTAAATGAAGAGAGAATGAGAGAGACTGATCGAATGTAGGTATTTCATTGATGAATGAAAATTATGAAGATGAAATAAATGAAATAGGCATAGTAACTGTTGTAATCAAGAATAAAAATAAACACCATTTTATTATGAAATAAGTCTTAAGAGCAGTCTAAAGAAATTGTGAAGAAAAGAATGAAAAAAGATGTCATAGAAATGTTTTAAAATAAAAAAGCAAAAGAATTGTGAAGAAGATAATGTTGAAAAAAAGAACTGATGAAATGTAGGCAGTATAAGAAAAAGAGCTTTTAAACAAGATTGAATCAGAATATAATAAAGAATTGAATGATAAGTATAAATTGAAAATGTCAAGTGAAAGTGAATGAAGAAAGTTAAAGGTATAATAAGAAAAAAAGCAGGCGAAAAGATAAAAATAGTTATAAAAAATAAGAATAAGCATGTAGTGTAGGTATAGATGTAAATAATAGTAAGACAAATGATTATAAAAGGAAAGAGAGTAAGAAAACGAGGGTTGTAAAAGAAAAGATGAAGCAGGATAGATAAAGAAAAGCAGGCGTAAAAGAAAGAGACAGATAAGAAATAAAACAAAGCATAAGATAATAGCCTATATTTAATTGTCTATAAAATGAAATAAATTAAGCTTACAAGTATGAAATAATGAAAAATATAGCTCGCAGATATAATAAGTAAGCATTTGAAATGAAAAAACAAATAAGTTTACAAGATACCATAGTTTGTAGAAAAAAATAATTCGAAGTGAAACTTGTCTTGTTATGTATTGGTGAAGTGATAGAAAAGCGAAAAGTGATGAAAAGCAAGCAGTTGAAGTGAAGACATAGAACTAAGATCAGTTAAGAAGAATAGAAGAAAAACGCCCACCTGGTGCGTATCACAGTGTACTTTGAACTACTTAACCCTAAAGGAACTATAAGTTTCATAAAACGTGCAATTTATTGCGGAATTCACCGTCTAAAACAAATGTGCGGCGATTCTGCTTTATACCTAAACTAACATCACTTGAAAATAATACTGTCTTTGGTAAATCTTTAGCATTGGCGTAACTGGATAATACTACTAACATAACAAAGTTTTTACATAATACTTATTTGAACTTGACTGAAAACAAACTCCCAGAATTGCAGTTATTGTGTTCTGGACAATCATATACGATACTCGAGGTACCTTTATCTCTACGTTCATTATTATTCTATTCTCTATTAGTTCATTACCTTTTTTAAACCTTGAACTACTCGTAGATCTTTGAACACTAGTAAAAAAACAAAACCAACTACGCCAATGCTAACCTTAACTTCAATTTAAAACAATTAGTGCTATCTGGCAAGTGCAAAATTTCGGCTTAACCCATTACTTCCTGTACCCATGATGGTCGTCATGGTTATTGACGGGGTAGTCGGCGTACCATCCGAAAGCCCCATTGTCCCCGGTGTGGGCGCCGAAGTCTACGAACTCCCCGAAGTCTGGCGGCCTCTCAGCCAGCTGTTGGGACGCGCCCAAGGAGGCCGAGCTGGAGGCATCTTGAGGCTGTTGTTGCAGTTGCTGCAGTTGCTGCAATCGCACCAGTCTAGCAGGTGCTTCTTGCTCTGGAGGGTTGAGGGCCACCGCTGTAAAGAAGGTACGTCTAAATTTAACAACTCTTGCATTGTTGGCTGCTAATTTTTGTTACAAAATTGCGTTTAGATCGTTTCACCCACGAAGACGCGTCCCACCATTCTTCCACTAATGTTTGAGTGTAATCGGTACACGCCAAATCATCCATGAGCTACAATAATGACGCTCGGATTGATCGGATAAAATTCCCCGCACCCCGCGCTTCCTTCGACCAAAAATTGGTGGGGTGCGTCTTCGTGGATATAACGAACTATACTATGAGATGCCTCTATTTAGTTTGTGCTATCACTGTACCAACAACGAAGATTTGAAGCTATAGAACGCCAATAAAACCCTAAGACAGTCTGGGTAATCTTGTTTCTCTTCTAATGCTAAACGGGGTAAAAATTATGACAATGTCTATATTCAATTTCACTTTTATGAAATTAGAGCAGATAATTGATTCGTCTGAGACTGACTTTAATTTATAATTACACAGTTTTTGTGTTAATCAATTAGCCCTGTAACCTCTTTATTACTAATTAGGTATGATTGCGGTCGTTGAGCAACAAAACAATGCACTAGTAGTGAGTACCGGCATTACTCGACTTCAAAGGTAAGTGTTGCAACGTAGTGCATACCGCATACTAGGCCAGCGCTGGTGAAATATGCCGTCGTTCATACTTATCGATTTTCTAAACCATTTTAGAACATGAAATAGCTGCAATAAATCTAGCGCTTAGAGTTAGAGTTACTAAATTGAGAGCTATGAATAGATCACGAAGTGCTTACGTTAGTAAATCTTATAACTTGATTGAAAGGCTATTTGTAAAACTGGTTATTTCAATGTCTGTTTCTGCGGTTTGCAATTTGTATCCATTGTTATTAAATATTAAAGTCGTGAATGCCTTTTCACACATTACAAACACATGTAAAACAGATGCGAGTACATTTACAACAATTAAGAATGCTCTACTAAAATGTAACTAAATATTCCGTTTAAAATAGAACAATAGAAGAAAGTAAACGTATAATCTCGTTTTGCAACAGCGTTAAACAGTTAAATGATAAATGAATGCAAAACAGACATTGCCGGATGCATATAGAAAGTGATCCTTTGTTGAAAGGAGAGAAAGCAGTGGAGCGACTGATCTTGATAGATCACCGAACAAATGACATTACGGATTATTGCGCTCCGATTGTTCGATATTACGGCCCAGAAGCGAGGCGGATGGAGCTTTCTTCAACACTAACTGGTTTCAGCTTTCTTCATTGTGACGTCATTTGGTCTCTGCTACAGGAGCACGATCTAGTTTACCAAAGGCACATGGAGGACTTCCTAAACTCCTGGGCAGACGGGTTGCTTAAGCATGACGATCGCGTATTCGTCCTTTAGTCGCCTTTTACGACATCCAACCAAACAATATTGGTCCTATTCTCCTCTAACCTGAACCATGCGGCAATTTGATCTACACTCCACGTGCTAGCCACGGGTTGTTGAGGTTTGCATATTTGTTTTGACCTTTAGTCGTCTACGATAGCGATTCAAAGAGCTGGTCAGCTGTTCTCCTCAATGTAACCACGCGGAAATTTGCCTCCAGCAAAATAGTTAATCTCTTAGATTTATCCATAACCACTCACGTTCTTGCTGAATCTGCTGATAGTGCTGTATAGGTATCGCCTGGTAGTCCTGGTGGGTGTACAGGTTCTGCAGCGGAGGCGGCGTCAGCGTTTGTCTTGGGACCCGACGCACGTGTAGCGATCTGAGGTCCACGAACGCGATCTGGTCAGCAGGCACTGCTATGTAGGAGGGCATGGCCGCTGCGGCCGCCAGTAACGTCGCCAGGATGAGTGTATGCTGCAAGGAAAAGGTGGTTATTAAACCTAGAATACACATTCAAATTACATGAGTGCAGCCCCTACAAGTTCCTACAGATGATGACCACCATTGAATTTACAATACTGGTTGTCATCATCATCATCATCATCATCATCATCATCATCATCATCATCACTTTAGTTACAGTACGGCCACTGCTGAACATGAACTGGTTGTCATACCGTATTGAAAGCAAAATAATTAGATGGTGTCGTATTTAAAGAGTTATTGAAAAGGACAAGCTTGGCCGACCAGGCGAAAACATTAATACTCGTATCAACGTTGAAAACCTGATAAATTCATTCACATAATCACAACCATAACTGAAAGATAAGTGAGGATGTTACCACATAATAATTAATATTACCGGCACTCAACGCTCGAAAGTCCATGATTAAATTGATTATCTAATAAGGTGAAAGGAAAAGCCCTTCCATGGATAAAGTTGAAATTCATAATTTATTTAAAAGGAAATAGAACATTATCGTGAGCGGAAACTTTGTAAAACTAAATAAGGCAATTGATTAGTTCAGATAGCAAGTTACGTAGCCAAGCATGGCGAATTGCGCAACGGCGAAATACATAAATGGATATGGTTAACAGGCCGCCCGCCAATTCAAATGTTTAAAAGTTACCGGTCTTTCGTCACTGCGCGTGCGCGCCCGCGTGCAATACTAATTTGTGGTTGGGCACTTTTCTTCGCAAGTGTAACATTTCTATTAGATTCCCCACGGTTGAAGCGTTTACATTATTATGTATTCTGCGTCTTTTACTCGTGAAAGTTTTAGGTTTGTCCCTCTAAAGCACATGTCAATGGCAAAACCAACATTGACTCTATAATTCCAGCAATAAACACTGTTACTCATAAGCCTAGCTTTTCTTTAAAACTAACTGTAACCCAGTTATCACTGAAAATCTCCCTTCAAACGCTCGCAATAAAAAGTGAGAATAGTAATAGAGCCTTCAATTTAGTCAGTAAATGTATTTATTTATTATTTACTAAAATAACAAAGACCTTGTCTTTAGATCGCCCGACTAAGCTGAAAGTATCCTACTTACCTACATAATTTTGACCTTACAAAACGTGGAAATAAAATATTATTCATGCTGTAAGCAACCTATTCAGAATAACTTATAAAAACAACCAGGAACTACCAATTTTGCCATATAGCATAACTTTTATAATGTGTTTATATAAAATGGCTTTAACGATGCGTTAACACCTTTAGAGGCAGTTATTAAAGAGTTAATTGTTATAGTAACTGCGATTGCATAAGAGACAATTGAGCTACCGGCGCGCGCGCACAATATAGAGACACATTGCGACTGAACTTAACAGAATTTATTATTTGCGATTTGTATACGTATAGGAAACGTTATGAGGTCATTTGATATGGTTATAATAACTATTGAAGCTTTGAAATTGCTTTGCCTTTTCTGTGAAAGGTCTACGTTACAAATAAAGTTCAAATCAATCATTTGCTGACAGTGTTATACCTACCTATTGTTGATGAATGTCACGATTTTAGAAGTAGGCGTTTGAAAAGTAGGTACTGGTGAAGACAGTGAAGTTAAGCGAGGTCGGTAGTGGGCGGACACCTTCGCTGCCTTCGCTTAACAATATTGCTAACGGCTATTTCCTATTAATTTTCATAATAGGTAAAAATAGGAAATTGTGTTTAGGTACCATTCACAACAATGTGTAGAGCAACACAATGTTATCTGTTTCCATTTTGAAGGTAAAATAATATGTTTTTATCATAGTTAAGTACTTCAAATGCTACGAGGGCGTATCTATGTTGTAAGAAAAACCACCCACGTCTTTTTAAATAAGATTTTTTGTAATTTTTTGTTTCATAACAATTTCCCACGTCCGTTTTCACTTGTGGGAGGCTTTTATATTGTTTGGTAATACGTTAAATATTCTGCTTTTAAAATTTTCTTGTAGATTCTTATGTAAACTGAAAGAACAAAGGAGTGAAATTGGTAAGTGTTTTAACATCTATTTTGCATTGTCTTTTTTGTATTGTTTTGTTACATATGTCGACAAGGATTCGTGTCTGTCACCCTTTCAAAGAAAAACTATTGTATTGTATTGAACTCAACTTTTAAAAATAATTAAATAAATATTCAACTAAGAAGCCTTTATATTGGAAACAATTGATTTCTTTTTGTTGTGCTCGTGTGGTGCGTGTTTAAAATAACTATAATTATAGCGTATATCAAACAAATTAGGTATTCATTAAACGGTGACCCGTGAGGTCAAGAAGAAAGTGTCTGACACCACCATCCCAGTGATTGACATTTGACCATAATCGACCGTAGAAATTACCATGTATTTTGTTGTCAAAACGTTACACACGTGTGTACTTGCTCCGTACTTTCAAATAGTTGTTAAGCGAAAGTTACATAATAGGCGCCTACAGTTTGTCACTGTTACTTAACTAACGAAAAAAACATAGAAATGTAACGAATATTCATGAAAAGTTACCAAATCAAGATTTTCATCGTGAAAATGTGCAATTTTTGCGTGTTTTCCAATGCTAAACTTGCGAAACTTGTATTTGTTTGTTAATTTACCATTATGCTTACAAGATTGTAATCTGTTTTGAGCTAGGCATAAGGTACCTGAGGCATATTGTTAAGAGTCCGCTTCTACAATTTTTCATTGAGTTCCGCTACTTTTTTCGGAGACCTCATCGGTTACGTGTACAATTGCGTTTAGAAAGTAGAGTAAATAAGATTTCACGGCTTTACAAACGGTCTCGTTATACAATGTCGCGGCGCAATCGATTTAAGGTTGGAGAAGCCAATTAGGTCTCTATGGACTTAATCGAGAAAAGTTTTTGTAGCGCTTTTTCTTTGTAATTGCGATTACGTATTATCATTATTTGGGCTTTCTTTTGTGACTTTTTTAAACGATTGTTGAGTAATGTTTACGGTTTGTTCAGTGATGGTGCTATTTTTATTTCTTTTGTGTCTTTTGCTTTAGCATGATACTTAAGTAATATTTGATTCGACTTTTTGTGGAAAATTTCTTAGGCTAACTAACTTCGGTAACATTCTACGTTTTTTATCCACAAATACTTAATTTATTAAATATGATAATTTCAACAATAAACCTGAGTCAGTTCAACAATGAGCCATTACGGTCAAGTGTTAACAGTAGCAATAAAGTACACGCAATTTACGTTATTGCCTTAACAATGTGGTCCAGCTTGCCTTCGGCCGGTGAAAGGTCCCAATGCCACGCTTATGCGACAGGACCCGGTGTGACATTTCCGTGGGCGGTCCAAGGTTGCTGGACAAATGAAATGGGGGCGCCTCGATTATGCCAGTGGGCAGTTTAATTGATTTAATAACAGGTTTTCGTTTTCGCTGCAATGATTGTTTAAAATGGTGTTTTTTTCAGTAAGGGATTTTTTGTACTACCTACAGGATTTAACCGGGGTCTATTATATGCTGATTAGTTAGGGTTTAGTGCTTAAAATATAGAGTCATTCGTAATACAAGCCTATTTGGATTAGCAAAAAGTTTTTAAAGTATAAATTATTTTTAAATCATGATAGTTATAATCGTCTTTAGTTGCTCCTATTACAAAACCGTTTCTTTTTGCGCACGTGTTTAAGTACCTACTGCACTTAATAAAACTAGATCAAATTCTAATTCAATTAATAAAATAATGTATTTATTGCCTTCGACCTTAGTATTATACCTACTTATTACAAAAGTCCTTGGCAAACGTTTTCTGTTCTAAATAAAGTCGTTCATTCATAATTAATTTTATTTGTAACAGTGTTGTAGCGTTAGATTGCAATCGGATATACCTATCTAATTACTTACCTGAAATGTAGTAACTAATTTGAATGCTAATTGTTACGGACACAGTTCCTTTATTGTTCAATTAATAGAATACATTTCAATATACACTCAACATCAAATAAACCACACCTTCCGCGACGCGAACTTTAAAGATTTTCTTCTGACACAATCATGGTAGGTACCCCAACAATATTGGTGTTATTTGAAAGCTCAATAAATATCCTTAAAGAAAAATACATTTCATTTCTAAATAAATGATTAACATATACCATAAATGTGACTTGAAAATAGACCTCACTTTGGGCTCACCTCTGGGATCAATTAGACCAATTTTTATGGTTATAAAACCAAATAAAGATCTCATGTGTCCTCTTTAACAGATGGATAGCGATTAATCCCAACTTAACAGTTTTATAGTAATAAAAAATGGCTATGGCGTAACTACCTATTTTTTGAAGAAGTGTCTCTGGATCCTTGTAAAGACACATTTTTGGGGTAAAAACCTTTCCTTTAATGAAATGAAGTTTAGAACTAGGCTTTCAAATGGTACCAATGTTGGTGGGAAGTGGGGATGTATACGTTTGATAAGTGCTTGTCGCGGGAGGTGCGATTTATTTGATGCCGAGTGTAGATGGGGTGCAAATATTTTACATTTTCGTTTTGTATCTGTTACGGCTAAAGATCGGTGTGAACATAAACTTAAGATTAGCCGGCTAAACTTAAGATTATCTTCGACGAGGTGTTAATGTTAGTTTCTTCTATCTTTAGCCGGCTAAACTTAAGTGTAACCGCAGGCCCTTGGCTAAAAATGTAGAAGTAAATGGAAAAGGAAACAATGTAATAATGTTTACTATTTTGACACGAAAACTTACTTTTATGTGCATATGTAGGTATTTAAAATTACAATTATTACAATAACAAAATATTAATTACTTAAAACAATATCTACCTAATCATTAAAATAAAATTATAAGGAACCATTTGGTCATTACAGAATCTTCTGTAGGTATTTAAAATTACAAAACAAAACTGCGCGCGCGTTGTCTCCCCACCGCCCCCTCAAGCCCTCCGCCGGCCTGGCGCGCCCATCGAATACATTTTTAGCCGTTTCGTTTTGGCTAATGTGCACATTAGCCGGCTAAAGATGGAATATCACGACGCAAACTAACATGTTATCGAACTTTAGCTGCTTCTCGAAGATAAACTTAAGTTTAGCCGGCTAATCTTAAGTTTATGTTCACAACTATCTTTAGCCGTAACATATCGATCTCGTGTACAAAATAATCCAAAGTAAGATTATCTTTAAATTGATTTTATATTTTAAGTAAGTAGTGTGTTTGTATTTGACTTTATCCTAATTTGTAAAATAAACACACGTGTTTGAGGCTACAGTAAACTAGATTCATGGAACATAATTTTCTTAGGAAGCTTTTTTACATTATCTTAAGAAACTTACGAAAAGCTTATACAAACAAAAGGATTTTTAGCAATAACTATAATAATCTAATTTTCAGTTCAAATGCTACTGAAATTGTAGTTTAATTAATATACCTAAGTATGAATGCAGTTTACTCTACAGAAACTGCTTGAAGTTTTATATAAATATATTTTATTGCAAAATACAGATGTTATGAAAACAAAAAACTGCAATGCTAATACTTAAACGTTACTGCACGTTGGTAAATCTTGAATGTTAATTAAAACTAAATTGGAATTTTGTCTGTTACGAAACAAAATATTTGGTAACAGTATGGTGGCAACCTGATATCAATCTATGTGAAAAAATCTATGCAGCGTTAACAGTATTATTTTAACAATGGCGTGAATTAAATTGTGTAATGTACCTACTGGCCTTGTGTTTTTGTTATGCTCTATTTACTCTACAAAGATAAGCGCAACTGATAAATTAGTAATTAGACAGAAGTGGTTAATAAGTTTTGAGTGCAGTTACTTACTTTTCCATGTGATAGACCAAGGTATTAATGAACATAGGATAGGTGAAGTGCATATAGAAGAAGTGATAGGGATAGAACAGTTTTTGATAGCACTAAGAAGAACACTATGTTAGCACTACATCGAAGCCGATGACTTATTAATTAAAACAAACAATGAAAGTGAAAATTCACTTTGAAGACTGACCATTGTCTTTCCAGTGGGGGCAGCACTGGTAACACTGGCAACGGGTCTTTTGGCGCGCACGCGTCGACTGAGCTCGCTATAGAGCCCGCAACAATTTTTATAGTAACCTCTCGACAAAGCAGTTTCACTTTCTACTTGGTCCGGTCCAACATGATCCACTTTTTTACGGGCGCCATGAACGCAGCTTAGGAACAGTAGGGTTACATGGTTTGTGCATACAAATACATACATTAGGGAATCTTAGAGGAACTAGGAAAGTATCTAAAAACGCTAAAGGAATACTGAAACTTGTATTAATCATTTTGTTATGGGGTGCTGCAATAACTATTGTTTATGCTAATTTGCATTTGTTTTGAATTGAAAACTTTACGTAACTTTCGTAGCAAGGAATTAGGTTTATAATGAAAAGAATTTACCTAATTTAATGATATTATTTTAAACTGTTTAGTAACACCTTGTGGCCGATCTCTTAAGGTTATTTAGGCGTTTGTTATATGACCACGTGTAGTGCATGTTTGTTACCACAATTACACATAAAGGTAAAAGCACTGTGACATCTTTCTATTTTGCAACAAATATTAATTATGTATTCAGATCGGAGGTTGTTCATTCATTGTGTTTCGATTCCGCACACTGGAGTTACTGCACCTTCGCCCTACCATGTCTTATCGCTGCCTTTAAAAGGTAAACAAAGGTGCCCGTTTCACCCCCGGGCGTGGTCGAGAAATCGGGAGAAAATACCGCGTTTGTAATGTTCCATAAACTGCATCTGCCATGAGGTGCCATGTGGCAGGCGGTAGAGTCAGGTTGCGTCCTTCGTAACAGCTTTTATTTCTTTCTTCTCTCAAGTAGAAGGATATTTTTTTTATGGCAACAGAGATCCGGGTTAAAAGCTGGTCCAATTACGATAGTATTTTAATGGCTATTAAATTAATATAATTAATAAATGGGAGTTGAGTTATGAAAGGACTTTTTCTGTTCTTTGTCCTTACCTTGATTTATAAAGCTAATAAACGTTTACTGGTGATCGCAGAAAGATATCGTATAACGCACATTTTTGTTTGGGGTGAAATCCAAACAAGCTCATGCAAAATAACTCTAAAAGAAAAAGTAATTAATCTTTAGTTCAACTATTGCCATATGAAGCCTTTTTACCCGACGACTGCGACAGGATTATTAGTACACTAGCTGTGCCCGCGACTTCGTACGCGGAAAACCCGGTTTCGCAACATTTTTCATTGTTGCTCTGCTCCTATTGATCGTAGCGTGATGTTGTATAGACTATAGCCTTCCTCGATAAATGGGCTATCTAACACTGAAAGAATTTTTCAAATCGGATCAGTAGTTCCGGAGATTAGCGCGTTCAAGTAAACAAACAAACAAACTCTTCAGCTTTATAATATTAGTATACATTGTCCCAGTCAGCTAACTCAATAGACTAGTTAGTATAGTAGGTTATCATTACCAAAGTCCTAATATTACTTGTACTAGTATTTTGTGGTTTTAACTAAGTCATGAATCGTGAGAACACCATTAATTTCCCAGGTTGTGGCGCCATGCTATTACAATAATATGATGTGGTGGTGAGCCATGGTAAGCAGTGCTTTGACGTACCTACACAGTGCATGGGAAATTATTATTTGGGGGAAAATAACCTGTCATCCGCTTTGCAATGGAGGGAAGTCGAACCTTTATTTCGAACTCCTCCTATGTTCTTCTGATTAATTTCGTTGCGGGTCCAATGACAGTTTAACTTACTCCGGGACAAACTTGATCTTCATTGGTTGGGTTTTTGTGACGGTCAAGCTGTAGATCCTGGCTACACAGGAGTTGCAGTGGTGGGAACGAGAGGTGGGAATAGTCCCGTGATGAAGAAAAACCACTTCTAATATTAATGTCCTTTATGTTTTAGGTACAATTGGCAAAATCCGTTGCGTAGTTTTAAAGATCTAAGCATACAGAGGGACAGACAGGAAAATGACTTTGTTTTATAATATGTAGTAATAGCTAACATAATTTACCTGTGAATTTAAAATCTCATTTTGGACAGTCCCAAAAAAGTCTCTACGAAATTGTTCAAGGTTATTCAATGAATTTAACTCAACAGAAGGATACGAGAGCAGTTTAATATGCGGAAAACAACAGCAAATCAACTTTAGCCTTATAAAAGGTAAACCTACCTACTTAAACTTGTAAAATCAAGTGACAAATATCAAGGTCAACTTGTGCACGGCATTTGCATTATTAAACTTAAACTGGGACAAATATTTATAAAGAATGGTTATAATAATTTAAATTATTGTCATAATAAATTCAATAATATTAGTTCATAATTTTGTGCGTGGTGCGTTGATGTCTTTTTGTACTAACTACAAATCTACGCCGTAGTCTCGTAGCACCTATGGAGTTTTCTAAATTTCTTCATCTGAATTTGTTTTTTGACATAGTTTTTATGTTTTAGGATAAGATGAGAAAATAAATCTATACATTAGTATAATATTAATTATAAATGCGAAAGTAACTCTGTCTGTCTGTCTGTCCGTCTGTATGTCTGTCTGTCTGTCTGTCTCTCTGTCACGCTTTCACGCCTAAACCACTGAAACGATTTTGATGAAATTTGGCATAGAGATAGTTGGAGTACCGGAAAAGGACACAGGATAGTTTTTATCCCGGTTTTTGAAACAGGGACGCGCGCGATAAGGTTCTTCTGTGACAGACAAAATTCCACGCGGGCGAAGCCGCGGGCGGAGAGCTAGTAATAAAATATATGTATGTAAAATATAAAGTTTTTATACCTATGGTGTTTATCAGAGATTCAATGTGGGTGTCTACATTTTCCTTTTTTTCATCGTTTCTTTACTCCAGAATGATTAATATGTATAACTAGTCTAAACCACAACAGGTAACTAAAATATTTATCCTAATATGTATTAATTTATTGGTTGAAAAATGTTTTTATGCGGTTATGGATAATATCGTATTTAGTTGCTTAATCCTTCGACCTGTATTAAAAACTTAATTGTTCGGAACAACCTACTGTTTTATTTCATTATTGTGAGAAATCCCGACCTTAATTCTACTAATATTATAAATGCGAAAGTTAGTATGGATGTCTGGATGTCTGGATGTGAACATGTTTGTTACTCTTTCACGCAAACACTACGGAAAGGATTTAGATGAAACTTTACAGTATTATGGTTTATAACCCAGAATAACATATAGGCTATAATTTATGACGATCTGTGACAAACTAAATTCACGCGGGTGAAGTCGCGGGCAAAAGCTAGTACATCATAATACACAAATCAACAACACTATAAATTTTATAACAATCTATGAATGAGTTTTGCAATGAGACCCGTGAGACATAAGTGTTGTGTTGACAGTGTGTGAATCAGGTTCGCGCCAAGGTCACGATGCACTGCACTTCACTAGTGTTGCGTCACTGATCGAATCATATTATCTCATTCATAGCTGAAAAACGAGATTTGAGAGATTCTAAGAAATTCTTCGTTAAAGCTAAGGCCTGAAATTGTCTTTAACACATATATCTAAGTTAATGATTGATGCAAAACAAATTAAACTATTACATAAATTAGGTAGCTACGTACGATTGGAGTAGGTAGTACCTATTAAACAGGGATGGGCATACCGAAATTATTATTATTCATAGAGTCTGGAAAGATACTTTTAACAGAACCTAAAACTAAATACCTAATTAACTTATCTTTAGGTCTCAGAGCACAATAGGTAACAAATCAAGTCACGTTTGAATATTACAAGATAGAATGTAGAGGCTTTGAGTTTTTGCACACAAAACTTTATTCCGTCGAACTCACTCGCTGTCCCATTTTAATTATCAATCAAAGGTCTACTTGAGATTAAATTTTGAGAAGTTATGAGCTATCGTTTCATAATCGGACCATATACACGTATCTTAGATCCTCGATGAAGTTTCTCATTTTTATGGCGTGTAGCAATCTAACGTGCGCGTAACACCTGACATGTGATATCGCCAGTATCAGCAACGCAACGGTCGCCAAGCGCACGCGCGGGATGCATACCAACTACTTACACAACGTGGTAGTCGATACAGATTATGATGGGGAAATGATGCAGGTTTTTTGGATTTTCGCGTACCGAGTAGTGTTATGACAAAAATGACAAATCAAAACAAATTATTCCGAACATAGGCCCTTTCCAGGGCGCTTATACATGTAACAAATAGCATGCCTTACCACCACTTCGGGACAACATATTATGGGCTGGTGCTGAGAAGTGGCAAAAGAAACTGCATTATGTACTTACTTGTAAGGTTTTTCTCCTTCGTCCATGCAATTGGCTGTGCCTGTATCCATTCCATACATTTATTAGCTAGGTTTCTAGATAGAGTCTAGCTAGTCAAGACTAATCTAGCTGCTAGACTAGAATGATTACATACTTACTTTTGACATATTATTTGGACGCAAGTAGGAGACCGATCTCCAGATAGGTTGATTTAAGATTGAGTTTAATCTTAGGATCGAAGATTGATTATGTAAATTGGGTGTTAGAGATTTCGTTTGGATATACATATATACTCAACATCAAATAAATCGCACCTTCCGCGACGCGAACTTTAAAGATTTTCTTCTGACACAATCATGGTACCCCAACAATATTGGTGTTATTTGAAAGCCCAATAAATATCCTTAAAGAAAAATACATTCAATTTCTTAATAAATGATTAACATATACCATAAATGTGACTTGAAAAAAGACCTCACTTTGGGCTCACCTCTGGGATCAATTAGACCATTTTTTATGGTAATAAAACCAAATAATGATCTCACGTGTCCTCTTTAACCGATGGATAGCGATTAATCCCAACTTAACAGTTTTATAGCCATAAAAGTTGGCTCAAGCGTAACTACCTATTTTTTGAAGAAGGGACTCTGGATCCTTCTAAAGACACATTTTTGGGGTAAAAATCATTCCTATAATGAAATCAAGTTTAGAACTAGGCTTTTAAGTAGTGCCAATATTGGTGGGAAGTGGGGATGCATACGTTTAAAAGTGCTTGTCGCGGGA